CTGGGGGCTTCGGTGGAGCTCCCTATGGGGCCACGAAACGCTGTACTAGGTGGGCGAAAATCCCACCAGCCCTTTGGGCGTGAGTGGTTTAAAGAGCTCTCTCTGTCCTCAACCCCCCTTCTTCCCCTTCGGGGAAGGGTTTACCCCTCCCCCTACCCCCTCCCCCTGGGCCTGGAGAGGGCGCCCCGCGGGTGGTTGGAGGGGTCTTTTTCGACTCCTGGGAGGGCCAAAAAACGACGACCGTCATGAGGATTCTGGCCCCGGGGGGGGGAGGGAGTTTGGCGCCTCAGCTCGTCTTTGAAGCCAAAAAAAATGATTTTACTAGGGTGTTGGCCCCATTTTGGCCTTCTGAGGGGGCCGCGCTCATCTTCCCTCATAGCAAAATCATTGATTTTACGAAGGTTTTGGGCTCATTTTGTCCTTCTCAGGGGGCAGCGCTCATCTGCGCTTCTGAGGAGGTCGCAAGAGGCCCCAAGATGGCCCCAAGAGGCCCCCAGGAGGCTCCCAAGAGGCCTCCAAGAGGCCCCCAAGAGGCCCCCAAGAGGCCCCAAGAGGTCCCCAAGAGGCCTCCAAGAGGCGCCCAAGAGGCCCCAAGAGGCTCCAAGAGGCCCCCAAGAGGCCCCCAAGAGGCCCCCAAGAGGCCCCCAAGAGGCCCCAAGAAGCTCCAAGAGGCCCCCAAGAGGCCCCACGAGGAGCCCGAACGACTCACACCAGGACGAGGGGCCCGAACGACTCACACCACGAAGAGCCCGAACGACTCACACCACAAGGAAGGGGCCCGAACGACTCACACCAGGACGAGGCGCCCGAACGACTCACACCACGAGGAGCCCGAACGACTCACACCACGACGCGGGCCCCGAACGACTCACACCACGAGGAGCCCGAACGAGTCACACCAGGAGGAGGGGCCCGAACGACTCACACCAGGATGAGGGGCCCGAACAACTCACACCACGAGAAGCCCGAACGACTCACACCAGGACGAAGAGCCCGAACGACTCACACCACGAAGAGCCCGAACGACTCACACCAGGAAGAAGGGCCCGAACGACTCACACCAGGACGAGAAACCCCAAACGACTCAAATCACGAGGAGCGCTTCTCTCTCCCTCCTCCTCCGCCTCGTCCTTCTCCCGCTCCCCCCACAAGGAGGATGTACAAGGAGGCGGGAGGAAGGAGGAACAGGGGAGATATGCGGGGCCAAGCGGACACACGCCTGAAAAACACGACTGTCGGCATGCTTCGCAAGAGTTGCTGCTGTGAGATGGGCTGGTGGGGATACGCGAAGCGTAAAGAATGCCATATTGGGTTTGCTGGACGCATGCGGGCGGTCCCACTGGGGGCTCCGGTGGAGCTCCTCACGGGGCCACGAGACGCTTTACCAGGGAGGAGGGGGAGGAGGGGGGGGAAGGAAGGAGGGAGGGAGGAGGGACGCGGGCACCGTCTCTTCAAAACGAGGACCCAACACCACAGGATGGTGGGGAGCAACTCGGCGGATTCAAAAGATGTCGGAGGCCCTGGGGAGCCAAAGCACATCCAGATCCACCGCCTCCCGAGGATCAGGAGGGTCGATTCCCTGGGGGTGGTGACCAGCGACAAAGCGAGTTTCTGGGACACGCACAGCAACTCCTCCAGCCATGTCGCGGTGAAGTTTATACTACTGCGCAAAAAGCGCTGGGTGGCGGCGGGTATGGATATACAGCTGGCGCGAGGGTGAAGAACAGGCCTAGATTCGAAGGGACAGTTGCCACTGCGTTCTTCGCTTTGTGGTCCTCCACCATTGAACTCTCCGCGCTGGATCTATCCACAGGGCCTGGGCCTTTGGCGAAGGGCTCGCGCTCTTCACCCGCATTCCTGCGAACACGCTTCGATTGCATTAGGACACAAGGCGGCCAGGTATAGCCATATCGGCTGCCGGATGAAGTCCAGAAGGATCGCTTGCCAGGCGGTGGGTGCATGCAAATCCCGTCTTCAGGATGGTTTCTTCGGGACCCCTTCCCCACGTGGCGACGTGTGGAAAGGTCCAGAGGGCTCCGAACGACGGCAAAGCGGCGGCGGGACGCCCCAGAGCACACAGCTAAGCTTAAGTCGGGCCTGTCCCCCTACAGGGGGATTTTCGAAGACAAATAAAAGATACTCAACAAATACTCCAAAATGGTCACAACAATACTCAAACTATAGTCCCCAGACTATGTTTTTACGATTTCCCGACCTAGGCTCTGCCTAGAAGGGTTCTTACCCTCTATCTTAAAGGGGCCAGGCAGTGGAAATCGCCCCAGGCGGTTCCCCCAGGATCCGCCCCGCGGTTCCCCCAGTTGCGCCCCCTTAGCTTATCTTTGATTATATCATCTTGGCTTAGCGAGGCTTAACTTGGCTTAGCTTGGCTTAGCTTAGCTTAGCTTAGCGTAGCGCAGCATAGCTTAGCTTAGCTTGCTTAACTTAGCTTAGCTTAGCCTAGCCTAGCTTTGCCTAGCTTCGCTTCGCTTAGCTTAGCTCAGCTTAGCTTAGCGTAGCGTAGCATTAGCATAGCATAGCATATCATAGCATAGCGCAGCATCGCATAGCGCAGCAAATCATAGCATATCATAGCATAGCATAGCATAGCATTGCATAGCGCAGCACAGCATAACATAACATAGCATAGCATAGCTTAGCTTAACGTAGCACAGCGCAGCATTGCATATCATGTCGTTTCATAGCATAGCCTAGCATAGCATAGCGCCGCATAGCATAGCATAGCATAGCCTAGCCTAGCATAGCGCAGCATCACATAGCATAGCATAGCGCAGCAAAGCATAGTATCGCATAGCATAGCACATCGCAGCATAGCATATCAAACCAAGCAAACACAAAACCAATAGCACATCAGAAACAACAGCAACAGCAAAAGCAAAAGCAACGGCAAAGGCACAAGCACAGACAAGAGCAATAGCAACGGCAATACAAAACAAACGCAAAACCAATGCGAAAGTGTAGATGTAGCTTTAGATGTAGGTGTAGGTGTAGATGTGGATGTAGGTGTAGATGTAGATGTAGATGTACATGTAGATGTAGATGTAGATGTAGGTGTAGATGTAGATGTGAGTGTAGTTGTAGATGTAGATGTAGATGTAGACGCTTGTGTACATGCAGAGGTAGCTGTAGGTGTAGATGTGGATGTATGTCTGGATGTAGATGTAGGTATTAAGCTGTACTACTACTACTACTACTACTACTACTACTACTACTACTACCACTACTACTACTGCTACTACTACTACGACTACTACTACTACTACTACGACTACTACTACTACTACGACTACTACTACTACTACTACTACTACTACTACTACTACTACTACTGCTGCTGCTGCTGCTGCTGCTGCTGCTGCTGCTGCTCCTCCTGCTACTACTGCTACTACTACTACTACTACTACTACTACTACTACTACTACTACTACTATCGTTACTGCTACAACTGCGACGATGAGGAGAAGGAGGAGGACGGCGTTTACCGTTACTACTAATATTGCTCTCCTCGGGGCTCCAACTCCTAGGTAGGGTCGCTCTGGGATAATTTTTGAACATTCTCCCTGTAGAGGGACGGGCCCGACATAAAGCTAAGCACCAGAGGGCACGCGGGGAATAAGGGGGGGGAAGGCACACTCATACCGCGAGGGCCGTCCTTTGCGTGCCGAGGAGGCATGTCCGAGCAAGGCGTGGCGACAGCGGAGGGCGAAGCCGCACTAGGCCGCGGGGAAGCCCAGCAAGGGAGTGGGAACTGTCGCTGGCGGCCATCAGCTCGAAACCGTTTCGTTTCGTTTGGTACTGCGGCCTCAAACCTCCCTAGACTAGCCGGACATTCGCTGTGAGATGACATCATGCATGCGCCAACCGCTCAATCAGTCTACGCGCTACTGTCGTGCATTCCGCTAGTGCAGCTGCCTCCGCGGAGAAAGGGTCGGTCCAAGTCTGGAGAAATGAAGCCGTTCCAGGCAGGGCAGCCCCCTTGGATAGGAGCCAGGAACGGAGGAGGTGCGAGGAGGCGAGGGGGTTCTCCATGGTGGTGTGGTCCCCCCTCTCTCGCTCGAGACATCCCCAGCCTCCAGCTCGGGGAGGCATCGCGGACGTCCTTGCTGGAGGTGGGCCCCCTGGTGGTGTTGGTGTCGCTTCTTCTCCCTCCGACTTTGAAGTCCAGTCGGAAAAGCTGAGGAGACAGACTACGCAGGATCCCAACAGCGCGGAAGCCGCACGGGACATGGGTAATGAGTCGACGAGGAAGCGGGCCGCGCACGAAGCGTCCAAGTCGAGGGGCGTTGCCTGGGGACGTGGCCAGCCAGGGCCAGGGCGCCCCCGTGGAAGGTGACATCGAAGGGCCATTGGGTCCTGTCGTGGTCTGGGAAGGGCGAGTGCGGAACTGTTATTTCAGCACCCGCGTCTAGGGCCCTGGCGGCTGCCATCCTCCCCACCTTCAGGAGCAGCAGGAGGGAGGAGGAGGAGGAGGAGGACGAGGAGGAGGAGGAGGAGGAAAAAAGACAAAGGGAGCGGACCCTCGAACCTCGAACCTCTCGCAGAAATCCAAACTCAGATCTGAGCGCCCAGAAAGTCCCCACAAAGAGGCCAGGGGCCCAGACAGCAGAGGCAGGGCTGGAAGTGAGAAGCCATCTGGCCCCAAGGCCGTCCACGGCGATAGCACAACTGCTGACCAACAGCCCCGAAAGGCGCAGCGACCTGGCAACGACACGACAGCCGCCAACAACGGACTGACCGAACGAAACCGACCGCCACGCAGCCGATCCGGCCGTCCCTGGGGAGACAAGAAGATACCGATGCCGCTGCTCCCCGGATCTCTCCAGGGGGACGTTCCGCAGAACCTCGAGGCGAGTCTGGCGGTGGCGACGAGGGCCTCCCAGGACGCGTGAAAGGCGACAACGAGGCAAGGGAAGCGGCATGGGTACCTTCTTCTCCTCCCTGAGCCGTGGACACCCTGGGGCCCTTGATGGCCATTGGGGGGCCTTCTGTAGAGCAGCGCGCTGTGTATCACGCCGAGGTCGGCGGGGATCGAGTCGAAGGCGCAGGCGTGGCACACGATCACCCCCGCGGCGACGGCGGCCTCCTGGTACCTCAGCAACGTCCTCTCCATGAACTCCTCAGCGGGCCGACGTCGGCTACGTCGGCTCATCTTCCGTCTCCTCCTCCCTGCTCCCCTCCCTGTTCCTCCCTGTTCCTCACAGGTCCGCCCTGCTCCTCCCTGATCCTCTCTGCTCCTCCTCCCAGCTCCTGGTTCCCTCTGCCTTCCTCCTCCAGCTGCCCGTCGTGCCGCCCCTTCCTTGACCGTCCCTCCAGGACGGCCAAAAGATACCACCAAGACCCAGCTGAATCTAAACTACGGCTGAGGGCACAAGCAGCCTAAATTAGAGGCCTCCCAAAGGGGGTCATAACAGATGGTGTCAGAGGATCGCGCCGCATCGCAAATACATCGCCGATGCATCAATCGGCGATACAGGCGGACTCGATTGCACAGGATACGCGAGAGGACACAAGACTCTTCCGAGGGCCACATTGCCATGGGAATGTAGGAAGCATGGGTCGCGAGACACAGGACACAAGTGTACCATTGATTTGGCAGGGTCGATCTACTAATCTGGGCCGACTGTACATCGGCGGCGTCGGCGATGGAAAGATGCTCTTGACGGTGAGTCGGATTAAAATACGCAGTAGTTTCTACGCGGTGTTTCTACGCAGTGGTTTCTTCACAGTGTTTTCTACGCATGGTTTTCTGCGCGGTGCGCTCTGCGCGCTGCTTTCTACGCTGTGTGGTACGCAATGTTTTCACGCTGAGTCTTTGGCCGGCTTGAGTTTACGATGTCATGCGGTACGTTGTGGATGTGGTTAAGGCTGTGTTTGTTTACGAGGTGGGTTTCGTCGAAATGGTATCTTCTGATAGCGGTCGCACCGCTGTTTGTCGGAGAGCTCTCAACTCGATGAATACAGGCGTCTGCCAAAGGACCACGATGTACCCCGCAGGTAACTTCGGGGTACTTCGACGCGCATTGCAAATTCCTTCGCGCAGACTGGTTGTCCTTTTGCAGAAGCTTGTAATTTTGGAGCTGAGAGCCCTTGGGCAAACAGCGGGGCAACGCAACGAACAAAAAACTTGCTGCAGACAAGACCACGCCTCCACAAAGGACACGTTCAAGGCGCATGCCAAACAAACACTATATGCGCGCCGTTATGGTTCTTAGTAACGGATCATTATTTGTGCTCGGAAGACGCCTTGAAGATCATCGTTCTTGGAGGCTTGCTCCTGCGGTAGAGTGTGATGGGAGGTGTTGACAAAGCTCAAACGCAGCGTATTCTACGCAGTGTTTTCTACGCAGTGTGTTCCACGCAGCGCTTCCTACGCAGTGTTTGCCACGTTGTGTTGTTTGATTGTTTGGGGAAGTCGCCTTCAAGTATCGCTCTTGGAAGCGGGCCCTTGTGGTCGAGTGTGATGGGAGTTGTTGACAAAGTCCAAACCAGTGTTTTCTACGCAGTGTGTTCTATGCATGCAGTGTTTTCTACGCAGCGTGTTCTACGAAGAATTTTCTACACAAAGGTTGTGTGCAAAGATGTGTTGGTTTCGCTGTGTGTGTGCTAGACGGCTTGGTTTGGCAGTGCCATGCGGCACGTTGTGGATGTGTGCTTGCTACGTTGTGTTTGCGTGGTGTGTGCGTTACGTAGTGTTTCAAGCCGTATGTGTTCCGCAGTGGTGTGTCACGTGATATTGCTACTCTGCGTTGCTAATGGCGGCGAGCGAGGGGGGGAAATGAGAGGGAGAACGCCTTCTCAAAGGCGGCGGGACTTCTCAGAAGCCCTCGCGTCTTCTGAGAAGTGTTCTGTGTCTTCGGTGAAGGCTTAGAAAACTTCTCAGAAGGCCGGGGGGCTTCCGAGCCTTCTGAGAAGGCCCGCCCCTTCTCCCTTCCCCCACTCGCTCGCCACCGATGCTTACCATGTGCTGCGATGTGTTGTAGGGTGTTTGAATGGTGTTGTTGGTTTGCGAGGTGATTTGCACTTATTGTGTTGCGTGGTGGTTTGTTTACTCTGTGCTGTTGTTTAAACGCTGTGGTTTTGCGTTATGCTGTCTGAGTCGGCTTTATGTTACCAAATCATGCAATACTGTGTAGGTGCTGTGTGTACGTTGAAAATGCGAGGTGGTTCTACATGGTGGTTTGTTTGCCGTGAGGTGCACGTTGTGTTTACGCTGTGTTCACGTTGTGTGTTTTACCTGGCATCGCGCCACGATATGCCACGATGTTGTTTTGAGTGGTTGGCTTTTAAGCGGTGTTGTTTTGTTACAGTGTGGTTTGTGCAACGCATTGACATCGTGTTCACGCTGTGGTCTACGTTGTGTTTTCTACGTGGTGTGCCTATACCCGGTGTTGTGTGACGATGTCCTACAATACGTTGCAGGTGTTGTTTTTGTCAGTTGTGGTTGTTTGCGCGGTGTGTTTACATGATGCTGTTTGCGTGGTGCTCTGTTTTCGCTGAATTGTGTTGTTTGCGCTGCATGTTTTCACGTGTAGCTTTACTCGGCGTTGTTTTACGATGTGCTGCGAGGTAGTTTAGGCGTTGGTGTTTAAGTGTTGGTAAACTGTTGTTGCTGCGTGTGTTCCAGTGTGTTTTGCTTACGTGGTATTTATATACGTGGACCGTGTATGTGCGTTTATGTTAAGATGCGTTTATGTTACGCGTTGTGTTGTTTCACGAGGTGATTTGCTCGGCATTGTTTTACAATAAGCTGCGATGCGTGTTGTATGGCAGTTGTTTTAAGCCGGTGAGTGCTCTTAAGAATCCCATCCACTTTCATTGCGCCGCTGGGTCGCATCATGATTTAATTTGGGAAGATCGTCTTCGATGTGTATGCCTGCGCCATTTTCTTGAACGCCATATTGTTGGACTCTTTGCGGGTCCTTTGGGCATCCTCTGGCAAGCGTCATCAAGGCCTAAGGGCCTGGAACCGAGGATTTGGAATGGCGTCTTTTCGTAAGACACTGACCATTTCCAGATGGGGCAGAATGTGCTCCGTGAAAACGCAAGTGGAAAGCAATCTGCGGCAGCTCTGGCGCGAAAAAACGGGAGGCCCGAATCAGGAGTTATCGCTGACCTTCCCATGGCCTGGTACTTTTGAGCTCTGAGTACGCGTTGTTCAAGGGAGAACTCCAAATCTTTCGGGTCGGCCAAGGCTCCGGCTCGCCGCATATGTCGACGTAGTCCGTACCCGCCTCGATACAGGCCCGAACCACGCCCTCCCCGAGGAAGCGGAAGGGGCCCGTCACGTTCACGACCAGGCGGGCCTGCTGCGCCATCGCTACAAGCAGGATTCTCCTCCTCCTCCTCCTCCTCCTCGATCCCTCTTCCTTATGAATAACTCGTTATGAATAACTCGAGCCTCTGTGTTCACGCAATCCATCATCAAGATCTCCCTTGCATTGTCACGAAGAGCTGCCAATTGTGCACTCTTCTGCCCACGCGTCCTTCCGGATGCTCGGCTCAGCCATGCCATGTCGCACCCCGAGGCCGGTCGAAAGGGCGGGCCAGGCGTTCCGCCTGAGACTTCCTCACCGCTGACGATCCTGAAGCTAAAAATTGACGACAGCTTCACGACGTGGAGAACGGGTCGCATTCAAAATGTGGCTCTCGCCTTAGCGCCGCGCGCATTCGCCGTAAAAAAGTACAAGAGCTTCACGGATGGAGGGCGGACGGTTTCAGAATGTGGCACTCACCTCAGCGCCGCGCACATTCGTCTTACAAGTTTGCAAGAGCTTCACGGATGACGGGCGGATAATTCTCAAAATGTGACACTCGCCCGAGCGCCGCGCACATTCGTCTCCAGAATTTGCAACACTTTCAAGGATTCTCATGGTTCACGTCCGAGAAATGGTGTTTGGGAACGGTGTGGAAATGCCAGGGCGCAACAGTCACGTTGATTCGCAGTGGTAAGTACCGGAAATGGCGTTCTGGCACGATTCAGGATCGTCAAGACGGTGATTCGCGGCGCTGAGGATCCAGGAATCGTGATTTGGCATAGTTACCGATTTTGAAACGGTTGTCTTCCAACGGAACACTTCCCTCAGCGAAAATGCATAGGGAATCTGGAGGGAGGGTCTTGCCATATAGTTGATAACTCTTGGGTTTAATATGTTCCTCTTCCTCCTCCTTCTCCTCCGTGTCCTGCTCCTCCTCCTCCTCCTCCTCCTCCTCCTGTTCTTCTTCTTCTTCTTCTTCTTTTGACGTTAGGCTTAGGCCAACGGAAATCGTAGAGTCTGCAAGCCTCCTCCTCCTCACACCCTCCCCGGGGAAGCGGAGGGGGCCCGACACGTTTCCAAAACTAGGCGGGCCTGCTGCGCCATCGCTACCAGCGAGTCGTGGCTCTCCACGTCGGCCACGATGATGTCGGGCTTGGCTGCCGAGGCGTCCAGCTGTGCGACGGCCTCAGAAGGGGGGAGGAGATGGAGGAGGAGGAGGAGGAGGAGGAGGAGAAGGAGGAGAAGGAGGAGGAGGAAGAGGAGGAGCAGGGGGGCCGAGGGCGGTGAGGGGGAGGACGCCTCCGACGGCACCCTGTGGGGCCTCCTGCCTCCTGGTCCTGGGGGCTTCCTGCGGTTTGCTGGGGCCTCCTGGGGACCTCCTGGTGCTTCCTGCGCCGCGGAGAACGGCACGGGGGGAGGAGAAGGAGGAGAAGTGGGGCGAAGAGGAGAAGGAGGAGGAGGAGGAGGAGCAGTCCCAGAACGGCCCGCTGACCCCGAGTCCTGGCGACGCGCACAAGGGGGTGGCGCGAGGGAGAGGGGAGGGGCTCCTTAGAGGGCGGGGGACTTCTGCGAAGACAAGGGCCTTCTTGGAAGCGCTCCCCGCTCATGAGATAGCCTCACGGGAGCCTCCAGGCCTCGACAAGAAGGCCCGCCTCCTTGGAACCGCTCCCCTCGCGCTCCAAACTCTCCCCACCGCCACGACAGCCTCACTGACTCCACCCGCCCGTGATGCCGCCGCACTGCTCTGGAGCCCTCCAATACTCGTCCTCGAGCCTCGAGCCTCGGTCTGCGACCCTCGATCCTCAGTCCTCCTCCCCGGCGGGAAGGACAGACCCGCCACCGCTCCGCGCGAGGACTGAGCTGGCATGCCCTCGGGTACCTTGTACAGGGCAGTTATATATATATATATATAAGATGTGCAAAACCATAGGATGTTTGATACATGACTACTATGTGAAGAAATTTCTACATGAACTCATCGTTGTTTCTAATACTGAATCCTTGCATGTTTTAATGCATGATCCGCGCACGGAGCATGTATTAAAAACGGCACTATAATCCTGAGACCTGTCTTCAGGACTGAGAGCAAGTCCTCAGGATGGAAGGCCCCGACCCCAATGCCTCAACTGCCCTGGGGCTCCCGGCGTCGTGCCTTCCGTGGTTCGCTGGCGCTTTCCGCATGACTCTTCCGGAGTCGGGAGCGCCGAAAAACGGGCGAATGGGGCCACGAGAAAAGCACGGTGGCAGGATGGGACCGAAGATCAGCAGACCTGGCATGGGCATCAACCATCGGAGGTCGGCGCAAGTGTCTTGGATCGACGCTGGCCCCCCTCTCCCTGGCACGTGGAGCGCCGGCTCCGATGGGCGGAGCCAGCGCCGATCCAGGGCTACCGCGGACGTGTCGTGTCCTTCGTTCTATCCACCTCTGCTTCGGTTCCCGAGGCTCGACGTCTCGTGCGTTAAACCTCGTGAAGAGGCGATATAAGCGGCGCGGGGGGGCGCAGAAACGCGCACCCCATCGTCCCCATCCTGGGCCCCAGAGAGGCCCTCTGGGGCCCCCCCACGGTGCACAAAAGGCGCACCATTCTTCAGCACCCCACTTATCGCCCACCCCCCCGATGCGCAACGTCCGAACCCTCCGACGAGCTCCCTGCCTGGTCGATCCTGGACGACCTTCGAACGTCGAGCACTGGGCTCGGAAATCTAAAGTCGACCCGGGTGGCTCTCCAAGTGTTCGCAGTCTGGCCCGGATCTCGAATAAAAATACTCAGACGAAGAAGAAGAAGAAGAAGAAAAATAATAAGAAGAACAATAAGGAAGAATAATAAGGAACGGAGAAGAAGAAGAATAAGGACGAATAAAAAGGAATAATAATAAGAAGAATAAGAAGAAGGAAGAAGAAGGCGAAGAAGGAGACGGAGAAGAAGAAGGAGAAGAAGAAGGAGGAAGAAGAAGAAGAACGGCGCGCGCATATTCCTTTGATCGGCGCGCCACGGGGAGCCCAGCGCTAGTCAACAAATCTCCGCACGGACCTCCGACCGTTGATAATTAGGCAAATGCGCTCTTCTTCGAGACCCCCTGCCCAGAACGCTCATGGCCAAGGCTCTTCCTCTTCCTCATCCTCCTACTCCTCCTCGATCCTCCTCCTCGATCCTCCTGCCATCGATCCACGATCCTCCTCGCACCCCGAAACTCGATCCTCATCGAGCCTCGATCATCCCCTCAGGTCTGGCCCAGGGTAACGGTCCCCAGAGGCCGAAAAATGTCAAACGCCATCCATCGAGCTTTACGTTTTCACGACGCGAGGGGATCGAGGATCGAGGAGCGAGGAGGAGAAGGATGACGCCGACGATGACGATGACGATGAGCTGTAGTCACCAGTCACCGCCCGATGGATGTCAGTGCTCGGACGAGCAAGACTGGTGATGGGTCGGTGCACAGGAACTGAAACCAGTACACGGCGAAGATGACGATGGCGATGACGAGGATCGAGTGTCGCGCATAGGAGGAGGAGGAGGAGGAGGAGGAGGAGGAGGAGGAGGAGGAGGAGCGAGGGAGCGAGGAGGAGCGAGGGAGAGCGAGGAGCGAGCGAGGAGCGAGAAGCGGGGGAGCTCGAGGAGCGAGGAGGAGCGAGGAGGAGCGAGGGAGCCCGAGGAGCGCGGGAGCTCGAGGACCGAGAGCATCGAGGCGCGAGGGGGGCCGCGACGCCCCAGGCCCCCCGGGGCGCGGCGGCGGCGCCTCGCGCAGCCGGCCCGCGCTGCGGCCGGCCGCCGCCCAGCTGGCGAAGGGGCGGAGGCGCTGCGCCTGCCGGCAGACCTCGCTGGGGGGGGGGGGGGGCGGCCTCCGCAGAGCGCGAAGCCCAGCGTCGGCGTGGGCGCAGTCGGCGTCCTCCTCGTCCTCGTCCTCGTCCTCCTCCTCGCCCTCCTGTCCCTCCTCCTCCTCCTCCTCCTCCTCCTCCTCCTCCTCCTCCTCCTCCTCCTGCTGCTCCTCCTCCTGCTCCTCCTCGTTTCCCTGCTCCTCTTCCTCGGCCCTCCTCCTCTCTCCACCTTCCCCCTCTCCGTCCTGCTTCTCGTCCTCTCCTCGAGGGCGCGCAAACATGGATTAGCGATCCATGGATTTGGCGCGCGGTCGCCAAATCCATGGATCGGGGGAGGTGCCCTGCCAGAAATGTGGCTGGTGCCGCCTCGCTCGGCGGTTGAAATCCGCGATTCTCAATGGAAACGGGAACCGCCTCTAATCCACGCCCCCGTGATCCATGTTTGCGATCGCCTGATCTGCGCTAGGCAAGCGGAGGATCCTATCCCTCTCCTCCCCCTTCTCCTCCACCAGGTCCAAAGAAGGTGGGGGAGAATGAGGCGGAGTAGGAGAGCGACGACGACGACCAGGCTCGAGCAGTCCTGTTCGACCGGCATGCGTCAGGGGGCCAGGAGAGTTCGAAGTTCTAAGATTGAGGCTCGAAGTTTTACGATTGAGGTGTCTGGACGTGTCTCCTTGTATTTGGCGGCCTCGGGGCTTCTCGTCGCCGCAGCTGAATCCCCTCGCAATCCTTGTCAAAACGCACCCCTGAAGAGACCCTGGGGTGCTGTTTCGTGGCGGATGGAAATGCGCAGAAGGTAGCTGTACACCACCATTTTGGACGCCCGAAATAGGTACGGAGAAAATGGGTACAATGCCCAACAACAAATGTCGTCCAAAACAGACAGCGGTCGCTGTTGGGAGAGCGGCTTCTTGCCTTCAACGAACATTGTCCGCGGCGGCGCAGAAAGCGAGTCCTGCTCAAAATGAACAGGAACTGATGTTGGGCATCATATCGCATCTTCCCGTACCCATTTCGATCGTCCCGAACCATGCCAGGCCAGCCCCAAGCCCGGCCAGAGCCCCGTGGCTGGGCCAAGCCTCACGCTCGGGGGAGCGGGAGGCGGAGGAGGAGAAGGAGGAGAAGGAGGAGAAGGAAGGAGGAGAAGGAAGGAGGAGAAGAAGGAACTGACACGAGCAGGCGAAGAGGGAGGCGAGGGAAGAGGGCGGAAGGCAGAGGCGAGGGGACAGCAGAGAGACGGGAGTGAAGACGTCGAGGAAGAAGGAGGAGACTGTGCACGGTTTCGCCCAGGGCCGTAGGCGACCCGAGGAGGAGGAGGAGGAGGAGGAGGAGGAGGAGGAGGAGAAGGAGGAGGAGGAGGAGATAGAGGAGGAGGGGGAGAAGGAGGAGGAGGAGGAGGAGGAGGAGGAGATGGAGGAGGAGGAGGAGGAGGCGGAGGACGGGTCGCCAGTGCCCTTCGGAGAAACCCTCCAGGAGCCTGTCCTCCCTGGGAGAACCCAATTGTTGAACTCGTGGGGGGAATGTCAGGCTCCCCTCTCGGGCGCGGCCTGACCGACCCCTAGCAAACCATCCCCTGCCGTGACGATCTCCTCGCCTCCCAAACGTCCCTCCAGCCGCACACATACGTCTTGGGGCGCAGCGAGGGGGGCGTCACGGAGGGGGATGGCTTGCTAAGGGTCGGTTGCGCCGCCCTGACCCTTGGGGCCGGCCCCAGCCTGCACGCCCGTGAAGCCAGACGCGCCGAAGATCACGGCGTCGTACTTCCGGGCCATGGCAAGCCGACCACCCCCCAGAGGGGCGGGCGCCCTGGAGAAGACCAGGGCCGAGCCCAGGCGATCTACAACCGCCAGACCATGGTCATCCGTGCTCGAGCCGGAATCGGTGGGAGGGGTGCAGAGACAGGGCGCAAACAACGGCAACGATGGCATGGCTTGCAAGACACGGGTGCGGGCCACGGGTGGCGGCGATGTTGGCACGAGGTGGTACCACAAGCTGGGAGAGAACGGCTCTGCACAATGGTCTGAGACACGGTGCGATGCGACGGGGGATCGTGGGAGACGGTGAGAGGTGACGAGACTCGGAAGCGAGGCAGACGACGTGAGCAAGAGGCGACGAGAGGAAATTCACGGTACGACAACGGACCTTGGCATGAAAAGAAAGAACGGGGTCCTGGGGGAACGGGTGCTAGACCCCAGAAAATCCCCCAGAACTGGCTCTTCAACACGAAATGATATACTGGCTGTCCCGCTCGAGACTTCCGCCAGTCAAGCTTCAAGAGGAAATAACATGACGACAGTCACACGGTTCTGATGACCCGCTCGGACTGGTAACATGAGCTGCGGGCCCCATGAGGAGGGTGGTCCCGCCTGAGACTTCCTCGCCATTCACAGACGACGCTCCCGACGGAGACTTTCTCTATACTCAAGCTTCGAAAGGCCAGAAGTGACGACAATTACACTGTTCCGATGTTCCACTCGGATTAATAACATTATCTGCGGGCCCCATATACGGAGAGGGCTCCCGCCTGAGATGTCCTTGCACTTCACTCACAGACGAGGCTCCCGCTCGAGACTTCCACCATTTTCAGGACTAAGAAACCCAGAATGGACAACAACTACTAGGTTCCGATGACCCGCTGGGACTATCAACATGAGATGCGGGCCCCATAGGGAGGGCACTCCCGCCTGAGACCCCCTCGCAATTCACTCACAGACGAGGCTCCCGCTCGAGACTTCCCGCATTTTCAAAACTGAGGAGCCCCACAATGGCGGCAATTTCAAGGTTCCGATGACCCGTCGGATTGCTAAGGTTAGGTCGGGCCTTTCCCCCTACAGGGAGATTTTGGCAGAAAAATAGAAAATTCTCGAAAAATGCCCGCCTAATGGACGAACATGGTTTTAAAAAAATCGTCCCCAGACTAGTTTTGGACCATTTTTGAATATTCCCAATGTAGAGGGACAGGCCCGACTTAATGCTAAGAGAAGCTGCGCCAGCAAAGCCACCAGCAGAACCACCAGCACGACCACCAGCATGGCCACCAGACGACCACAGCACAATCACCAGCACTGCCACCAGAACAACCGCCAGCACCACCACCGGCACCATCAACAAGCCACAACCATCAGCACGACGACCAGCAAAACCAGTAGCGCACCCAGCAGCACATCAACCAGCACATCCACCAGCAGAACCACCATCACGGCCAGCAGCACAACCACCAGCACTGCCACAAGCACGACCACAAGCACAAACACCAGCACCACTACCAAAAAGACAATCAGCACAACCACTGGCACGGCCACCAGCACAACCGCCAGCACAATCAACAACAGAATTACCAACACAACCGGCTGCACACCCACAATAACGACAAGCATCGCAACCATCATCATAACCACCAGCAGAACCAGCATGACAACCAACAGCACATCAATCAACATGACCAGCAGCAAATCAACACACACACAACCGTCAGCACAACCACCAACACACCCACCAGCACAACCGCAAGCACGCCCACCAGCACAGCCACCAGCTCAACAAACAGCACAACAATCAGAACATCCAAGACAATTACAGCCAGCACAACAATCATCACAACCACTCGCACCATCTGCAACACGACCAAAACCACAACCACGAGCACGACCACCAGCACGACCACCAGCACAACCGCAAGCACTACCACCAGCACGACAACCAGCACAACCATCATCATGACCACCAGAACAACCAGCCGAAGTCCAGAAAGGTCTGGCACGCCTTGCGGTGGATATGTACAACTGCCGACCCTGGGGCATGACCACTGTGCAAGACCGCCCATCTCCGGACTGATTCGTCAAACCCTGCTGGGGGGCGAAGGCCTCGGAGCCTGATACTCCGGTTCCATGCCAAGGTCGGCAAAGAAGTCGTGGTCCTGCTCTCCGCCCCTCTCTTGGGTCCAGGACGGAAAGCTGAAGGCAGCGTGAGACGGACGAGGAAGACGACGACGACGACGAGGGAAAGAAGAACAATGGGGGAAGCGGAGGATGGCGAACGAGCGAGGAAGATGAGGGGGACATAGAGATAGAAGAGGATGCGGAGGAGGAGGCAAGGAGAAAATGCCGGATTTAAGGGCGAGGGGGACAACACACGGGGGTGAAGATGATGACGACGAGGAACGGAAGCAGGAGAGACAAGAGATAAAAAAAGACCAGGGGCCAGGTGGAGACGAAAGATGGAAAGCAGGACGAAGCGGGGAAGGCTGAGGAAGGACGGGAGCATGAAGGAGAGTTGGACGGCGAGGACGGAGAGTGCACGGTGGAAGAGGAAGATGAGGACCTCATCTTCCACCTCGGAGGTGAAGTCCTCGGGTGAAGCCCTTTTCCACCTCGGGCGTCTCCTCCAGCCCCACTACTGGGAAAACCAAACCGCACCGATACGGTTGCCCCTTCTGGGCCTCTCCCAGGGTGCGTTCTGACCAGGATGTCGAGGCGAATCCGGCGGTGACGACGACGGCTTCCCAGGAGGCCAAGAAAGAGGAAAAAGGGCAAAGGGTAGAAGTATCGGTACTTTGTCCTTATGTGAACTGTCCTCCCCATCCCCTTCCACGTCACTCTCGGGCTCCAACTGACGGCACGTCGATCCGACGTGGTTATAAAAACCAGCACCTGCGCATCCAATGCGACTAGGACACGACCGGTGATCGATGAGATATGTGTTGCTTGACCACGGCGGCCCGAATCACGGAAGGACGGCAAGAGGGAATAGGGAGGAAGTCAGAAGTTCCCTTATCAGCGCTTGCACTGAAGAGGGACGTGCCCGGCCTACGTCTGTCGCCCACGCGCTCCCGAACTGCTTTTCACGTCCCAGGGGCCAAAACACTGTGGAACCCAAAGGCATAGCGACACCCCGCTGCTCCCGGGATCTCTCTTCGAGCGCGCCCTGTCCAGGAGTCCGAAGCGAATGCGACCGTCGCGACAAGGGAACCGCTGATTGGCGGCGCGCACAACGGGGCAGGGGGAGGGGGGAAGGCTTCTTAGGAAAAGGCTGCTTCTCAGAAGGCGCGGGCCCTACACCTACGACACGAAAAGTGGGCCCCATGGGGGGGGGCTCACGCCTGAGTCTCGCAACGCGCTCACAGGCGAAGTTCCCGCTCAAGAGTTTTGCAGCATTCAGGACTGAAGGGCCCAAGCAACGACAACGCAAGATTCCGATGACCCGCTCGGATTAGCAGCAGGACCCTGAACGCCCAACCCCCTCATACGGATGACGAGCCCTGTCGTGTCCTCGCCCCCTCCTCGTCGTTTTCCGCTTCCTCTTCCTCCACGTCCTCCTCCTCTTCCTCCTCCTCCTCAGGCAGCCTTCGCGGAGCGCGAATCCAAGCGAGGAGGAGGACGAGGAGGAGGATGAGGAGGAGGAGGAGGAGGAGGAGGACGAGGAAGAGAAGAAGGAGGAGGACGAGGACGAGGAGGGGGAGGAGGAGGAGGAGGGGGAGGAGGAGGAGGAGGAGGAGGAGAAGGACGAGGAGGAGGAGGAGGACGAGAAGGAGGAGGAGGACGAGGAGGAGGAGGAGAAGGAGGAGGAGGAGAAGGACGAGGAGGAGGAGGGGGGGCGGAAGAGGAGTACAGGATGAGGAGGAGGGGGAGGAGGAGGAGGATAAGGAGGAGGAGAACGGGGAGAAGGATTGGAGGAGGAGGAGGAGGAGGAGAAAAAGGAGGAGGAGGAGGAGAATAACGAGGGAAAGGATAGGAAGGGAAGGGGAAACGGAGGAAGGGAAGGAACTCGGAGCTCGGAGATCCGCGAAAAGACACCAGCGGGGATCGGGAAAAGGAGAGGACACACAGGCCAAAAAGGAGAAGGAAAGGAGAGCACGGGGCCACCGGATGTCCCGCGTCGAAGAATAGAGCCGCACGGGCCTGCCTGTTCACAAGCGAGGGGCGCGTGAGAAAAGGGAGGGGGGGGCGGCAGCGACGTCCAGCGCGCGGAGAAGAACCACGCGCGGAGCAGAACCACGCGCGCGCCTCGCGTGGGCAGTTCGGTTATGGCCGTCTTCGAAGACGCTGTCGGTTGGCATTGCGCGCGTCCCAAGACGGGCCCCTGCCCCCGCTCGGTTGAGGGGCGACGCTGCGGAACCCCTGGGGCACCGGAGGGGCTTCTCGGGGCATCGTGGGAACCGTAGCGGGCCTCACTGGGAGCCTCCCGATTGCTCCCGGACGTCCCCTGGCGGCCCTTAAGGCCTCTCCCCTGGCACCGGCTCATGGGTCGTCTTCTCTCCGCGCCCTCGCGTCCCCCCCGGACTGTTGGAAGCTTTCTCGCGGGCTTTGCGAAACCTTGCGAAGCTGCACGGCGAACGCCGTCAGAAGTAGCAGCACCCTCGCGGTCGCGGCGCCACGACGACGGCACGCGTCGTCGTCGACATCATCACGAACAACACCGCAAAGACCAGAATGATAATCATCGCGAGCGCCGCCGTCGCGCAAATCCTCATTTGGGGCACGACCGCCATCCCCGTGATAGCCACGACCACCGCGACGCGCATAATCCGCATCGTCATCGTTATGTTGGCCATCGACATCGCCAGCGCCTAATGGGTCACCAGCATCATGTTCAGGGTTCACGCCACCATCAACATCAGCATCATCATCATCCTCGTCACCATCGGCATCGCCACCGTCATCAGCATCACCGCAATCGCCAGGACCTCCCGCAACGGAGAGGCGTTTCCGACCGCGGCGGCAGGCAGCGCCGCTCGGGTCTCTCAGGGGCGCGCAGCTTCCTGGCGGGCGTCGTGGATGCATGTTTCGGGAGGAGCGGAAACTTCTGAAACCACGTTGCCCGAAGGCTTTCTGGGAACTATGAAAGCCCGAGCCCGTCAGACCACGGGAAACATCCG